CGATGGGCCCTAAAATTGTTTTCTGAAAAGAATTCATGGTTGCCGCAGAGTTGCTATGAAAAAATCATCGGGGAATTGAAGATCAAAGATTTATGGAATATTTGTATGACTACTGCGAATGAAGACACCCGTTGGTTAGATTCTGTGCGTATAGATTACATTAAAAAACACTATAATAGGAAGATAAGTCTATCATATCCTATCTATAGTATTTATTAAATGCGGTAAAATAACCGTACCTTTACGTAAGGAAGAATTTCAAAAGTCATAAATATGAAAACATAATTTTCAGTACGTTTGTCAATAAATAGTCAATACGATTGATTCGTGGTGATCACTCGAATGATTTTTCTTCTGCGGTCGTTTAATTTTAAGATTCTTTAAATGAGAAAAAACAAAACTAATTATTTTAATCAACATTACATAATTTCGTTAAGAACCTGTTTTATATAATGTCTGAAAATTAATTGCAAGTAGTATGCATTTAGATAAAGTTTAAAATTATATTTGGTATGTAGACAAAATATCTTCATAAATACATACTGAACATGTGTGTAGTATTCATTTACCTTGTGAATAAATAATTAGTCTTTCCAATATTTTCAGACAATTCGCAGTGAAAATAAGTTAACTAGGCATTGAAATAAACTCAAAAGAATGTAAATATTGTTATGAATTACTTAAAAAAAAGCTTGAAAAAAATGATAATAAATAAAAAATCAGTTTTTGAAGTGACAAGTAACCTTATTCATTGCGTCATTGTGAACCCAATCGTCTAATTAAATATAACATATTGTCATTTAGTCCATAAAACTGCGTGCTACAAAAACATTGGATCTACCTGCACATGAGTTTTCCTTTGTTCTCGTTCATCATTGATACGATGCAATAAATATCAATTTTTAATTTCGATCTTTATATCATCAGCTAATTTTATAAAAATAATTTATTAAACCCATTCGATCGTAGGTAACTCTACCTCTTACCAAGGTATCGATAAAAACGTGTAAAATTTTTAGTAAGGAATCCACAAAAATTGAGTATCGAACATTTTAACATTACCGACCATATAAATTCAGCACACAAAGAATACGTTAGTAAAATAATACAAGCGCGTTCCAAAACTTTATTTCTCTTTGTTATACACCGTATGCGATGTGTTGACGTTTTTAGGTAGGTATCGCGAAACTCACGTTTCAACTCGCTTCTAGGAATGTGGCGATTGGTCTGAGGGGACGCGTACAGTCGGCACTGCCGCGCCGCATGTCGAGTCGTTCAGTTCAGTACACGTTACGACGCCGCAACGTTAACATCGAAAGATCGCGTCGACTGTAAGCCAGCAACTTTTCGTGTAAAAAGTAAAATCATCTTTCATCATATTGTACGAGCAATTGTATTGTGGTTTTGTGTGAGTGCGTAACATCATGTCCGTGTCCGACGTTGAATCCGATGCAAGTTTCGTTCGCGTAAGCGACGAATGTGATACAGAAGACATACATCACCTTGACAAAACCAATGTGGAAAAATTGATAAGCCTACGTGAAAATATCAATTGGGAGATCGAAGAAGAGAGACATAAACTGCTCGATCAACTTTATTCCTTGATCAGAAATTGGGAGGGCCAACTTCCAGATCTTTCTAAAATTTTTCAGCCTGAAGAACTTGATTGGCTTCTCGCGCAGGACGCATATAACAAAACCGATACCAGCGAAGTTCCTTTCATCGACTTCGTAATTCGCACCGGCTACAAAGATAAGCCCGACTTAGATAAAGGTGGCAAACCAATTTTGCGTCGTACCACGGCAGTGCATCGAGCGACTAGAAGTTTCAGTTCTATGATATGCAGTGCCATTTCTAAACTTTTTAAAATATACGATTACGTGAACTACATTGACGACTTTGGGTATACACATTTTCATGTGGCTTGTGAGAATAATTATGACCAAGTCGTGAAGAAATTTCTCGAGCTCGGGCAAGATCCCAATTGCCTCGCGCAAAAATCAGTTGATCCGCCGCTGCACTTGGCTCTAAGGTACGAACAAGAGGATGTGGTCGAGTTGCTTCTACGAAGCGGCGCCGACGCTAATTTGACGAACAAAAACGGACTGACGCCTTTGCACGTTATATGCAAGGAAGGAGAGTTGGAGGAGCTATTCTTCAAGATTAACGACGAGCTCAACAAGCCGGTGCAAGTCAATGCTCAAGACAAGTTGGGTCAAACACCGCTACACTTGGCTGTGACCCATGGCAGACAAAAGGTGGCTGAGCTACTGCTGAGAAGGGGCGCCGATCGGAATTTGGCCACCAAAAACAGATTTACTCCTCTGCACATGATCTGCATGAGAAGCGACGGAGATGAAATTGTGAAGGTATTTTTCGAGAGTAACGACGCCAAACAGCAGCTGGTTAACGTCGACGCTAAGGACAAATTCGGCCGGACTCCGCTTCAATGGGCCGTAGCGAGTCTCTTACCGGATGTGGTGGAGTTTCTCTTAAATCATGGCGCTGAATTGTCTAATTTTATTTTTCCCACCGAGGATTACTTCGCTAAGAGGTATCAACTCGATTGTACACTCCAGATGGTTGTGTTTCCTACGATGTCCATCATCAAGTCCTTGGAGAACAAAGGATATGAACTGGACCAGACCACCGCCCTGATGATCATGAAATTATTCGCCAAGTACGGATTGATCGATGATTCAGTGAATGTTGACGAATGTTTACGTACAGACGAAGACTTCATGAGCCTTGCAAAAGAGCGGATGGTGAATCCGAGCCTGACGCTCTACGACTTTCTTCAACTGCCTCCTGTAAAGGCTGAGAAAGTATTTAAGATGAAAGATTACGACCGATACACAGAAGAAATTTCTGATCTTTGCGACGATTCTCATCGGGCATTCACTACATACCTGTGTGAGACTGTAACGTATGGATTTTTCCGTCGATGGGCAGGGAAATTGTTTTTGAAGAAGACCCCGTGGCTGTCCAAGCACTACTGTGAAATTCTCATGGGACATCTGAAAATCAAAGGTTTATGGGACATTTGTATGGAGGCCATGAATGAAAACACGCAATGGCTAGATTCTGTGCGTACAGATTATGTAAAAAAGTATTATAATGGAGAGGTAGATCTATCATACCCTTTCATCGACCCCGTGGCTGTCCAAGCACTACTGTGAAATTCTCATGGGACATCTGAATATCAAGGGTTTGTGGGACATTTGTATGGAGGCCATGAATGAAAACACGCAATGGCTAGATTCTGTGCGTACAGATTACGTAAAAAAGTATTATAATGGAGAGGTAGATCTATCATACCCTCTCATCGATTGATATAAATTATAAGTAAAATAACTTCAGTAATAAAACAAGGACTGTAATGTATTGTAATGTGTTTGTGACTGTTATCCTAACTATTTTCAAAGTAGCCCAAATGATTTAGTATATAGTACATGTTTGTTTAAAGGTCAAGTTTGACATTATATTTACAAAATATAGAACATTTTTTTCAATCAGCACGCAACACATTTATATAAAGTTCAAAACAAAACTATTTATAGGCAAAATGACTCAGTTGTGTACTTCTAGATCCATAAGTGAACGATTATATAAAAATACTATAATAGACAATTTAGTCTATCACAATCTTTTGACAAATGTTACAAATCATCGTAAATAAAATTGTTTAAGCTTTTCTACTGGAATCAAAATTGCTATGCAGTTGATTGACAACTGGACTCAAATTATATTTTCAAGTCTGTCTGAAACAGTAAATATTAAATTTCAATTAGATAAAAAATAAGCAAGAGAATAAATTTTATTGGTAATTCAGATTATTTTAATGTTCCCTTTTTTTAGTTGAAAGTTCATTACAAGTATGTATTTTTTAACTTAAAGTTGAAAACTAAATTTTCATTCTAGATAAAATAAAAATAAATTCTTCAACAGTGGTTGTACATGTATAGCAATTCATTTATTCAATTATTAATGTTCTATTGTATTCAGTAAAAAAAATTTAATAAAACGTATTAACATACATTACTTTTTTATCAATAATGCACCTAGTTACAGATTAAAAAAAATTTCTAAATTCTTAAAATTTTTTTTTCATGTCAATATATCATTAAGAATACTTCATTTCCATACAGGCTCGCTGAATGTGCATTTATTAGCTTGCCTTAATTAAACTTGTTATAACATGTAACATTCAATATTCAAGTATGCTGAATTTGACTGACATTTGACGCATTTCTTTTGAATCAGTGTTATATCTGCAAACAAATCAACAAGTATTATATAGGCACATTAAACGTAAAAGGATCATCTAGTGCACAGAAGAAAATAGGCAATTGCAGTTGTTTTTTTAATTTTCGTCTAAGAACGATTTAACTTGGTTCGACCAAGCACGTGAGTTTCCCTCATTGAGTCGATCCAAAACAACAGCAGCAGACCTAGTTTATTATTATGAATATATGTACTAATAGACCGAATCATCGCATATTAGCATTGTTTCAACTTGTGCATATTGCCATCTTTCTGGTTCTTTATTCTTCTTAAAAAAATAATATTTTCATTTTTTGGTGTAGCAACTAATCGTATTAAATTCGAGTATATTTGCGAAACTCGTTTATATTTTCTCATAAACATTCTTTTATCGCGATCCGACAGATTTTTTTGTGAATAGAGTCCTTATAAGTTTTAAACGATCCGCTGCTTTACAGGCTAGTTTTCCATATTTCATTCATCTTTAATAAACGTTGAAATAAATATCTATCTTCTTTGTCAATAGTATTGAAAAATATTACAAACCAAAAGTCAAGTGCTACATTCAACATAAAAAAAAATACGCCAACAAAATGATATCGATCGTCGGCCGGGGCCTTCTAAACCGTTTAATCTCTGTTTGAGTCGAGCAATTTGTTTACAGATTTGCTCAAAGGCGCGCAACTCTCATTTCGGCTTCGAGTATCGCGTGTAGATTTCACTTGGTAGAGCCTCGTCGGATGTCGATTGTCGAGTCGTTCAATACACGCTTACGATACCGTAACGTTAACAACGAACAATCACATCGACTGTAGTTAGCGATTTTCGGAAAATAAGTAAATACATCTTCTATTTTGACAGCGATTGTGGTTTTTTTGCGAGTGCGTAAGGTCATGTCTACGTCCGACCATGAATCCGATCCAAGTTTATTTCGTGCAGGCAGTGAATGCGATTCCGAAGCCGTAGATCACCTTGATAAAACCAATGTGGAAAAATTAATCAGCCTACGTGAAAATATCAATTGGGAGATCGAAGCAGACAGACATACATTTCTCGATCAACTTTGTCTTTTGATCAAAAATTGGAAAGGTCAACTTCCAGATCTTTCTGAAATTTTCCGGCCTGAAGAAATTGATTGGTTACTTGTGCAAGACGCGTACAACAAAACCTACCTCGGTGAAGTTCCACTCATTGACTTCGTCATTCGTACCGGCTACAAAGATAAACCCGACCTAGATAAAGATGGCAAACCAATTTTGCGTCGTACCACAGCAGTGCATCGCGCCGCTAGAAGCTCCAGGTCTACAATGTGCATAAGCATTTCTAAACTTTTTCAAATATACAAGGACGTGAATTTCATTGACGAGTCGGGACTCACTCACTTTCACATAGCTTGTAAGTACGGCTACAAAGACGTTGTCAATAAATTCCTCGAGCTCGGGCAAGACCCCGATTGCCTCGCGCAAAAATCAGTTGATCCGCCGCTGCACTTGGCTCTGAAGCACTATCATAAGGATGTGGTCGAATTGCTGCTACGAGGCGGCGCCGACGCTAATTTGGCTAACAAAGACGGACTGACACCTCTGCATGTCATATCAAAGGTAGGGCACTGTTATTATTGTGAATTAGTGGAGCTATTCTTTAAAATAAATGAAGAACTCAAGAAGCCAGTCAAAGTCAATGCTCAAGACAAGTTAGGTTTTACACCGTTACATTTTGCTCTGAGACACTACCGCTTGAGTGTGGCCGAATTTTTACTAAAAAAAGGCGCTGATCCTAATTTGACGAGCAACGACGGATCGACTGCGCTACACGTCATCTGCAAGATACAAAATGATGGTGACTTGGCGACGATTTTATTCAATACCGGTGCTGGCGAAATACAAAAGGTGAAGGTCGACGCCGCGGATAAATTAGGCCGGACTCCGCTTCAATGGGCCGTGGCGAATCTCTTATGTGACGTTGTTGATGTTGTCTTGGATCATGGTGCTGATTTGTCCAGCTTCGTTTTCCCTACCGAGGATTACTTCGCTGTGAGATATAAACTCGATTGTACACTCCAAAAAGTCGTTTTCCGCACGATTTCCATCATCGAGTCCCTGGAAAGCAAAGGGTATGAACTGGACCAAACCGCCGCCCTGATGATCATGAAATTATTCGCCAAGTACGGATTGATCGATGATTCGGTGAATGTTGACGAATGTTTACGTAAAGACAAAGAATTCATGAGCATTGCGAAAGAGCAGATGGTAAGTTCGAGCCTGACGCTCTACGATTTTCTTCGGTTGCCACATGAAGAGGCAGAGAACGTATTAAAGTTTGAAAACTACCAGGAGTTCACTTGCGAAATTTCGCATCTCTCCGACGAGTCACATCGGGTGTATATTAAGCACCTGTGCGAGACAGTAGCAAGACGATTTTTTCGGCGATGGGCACTGGAATTGTTCTCGAAGAAGAGCCCATGGCTGTCCAAGAACCACTGCAAAAAAATCATCAACTCAATGAACATCAAAGATTTATGGGACATTTGTATGGCGGCCGCGAATGAAAATACTCAATGGCTAGACTCTGTACGTACAGATTACGTAAAAAAGTATTATAGTAGAGAGGTAGATCTATCATTTTTTCTGGATGATTGGACATATCATAAGTAAGAAAACAAAGATTGTAATGCATTTGATTTGTGCACTTTTATATACAAAACTATCTTTCAACGTCTCTGTTTCCATCAGTAAATGTTAAAATTCTAATAAATGCAAGAAATGTAGAGCAAGTAATTTTAGTTTAAAATTCACACTTTTCTAAAGAGAAAATCTGATATTATGGTTAAAAAATATAGAAAATTTATTTCAAGCAACACGCAACATATTCAAATACAGTTCAAAATTATACTTCGATTTATATCAAATGGCTTAGTTGTATGCATACAGATTTTCTTTTGTCGAATGTTACAAATAATAAATAAAAATTCTTGAGCTCTAGTGTAACAAATAAAATCAATATATTATGATCATAAAAAAATTATCTTTCTAAGTCTCTGCCTTGAGAATTAACTGTTAAAATTCAATTGGATGAAAAAAAGTCAAACCAATGTATTTAATCAATATTTGTCGCTTTTAAAAGCATAGATTTTTGAATTACTTTAAAAAATAATCGATAATTAATTGCGAGTAGCATCTGATTTTGAAAATAAAGTTTAAAACTAAACTTTCATTGTAGAAGAAGAAACAAATCAATAAGTATCATATACGTACACAAGAAAATTAGCATTCGCAGTTGTTTTCCTACTTTTCGTCTTAAAAAGATTTAACTTAGTTTTCTTTATTGAGTCATGCCAAAACAAATAACACCCTTTTTCATATACGATCTTTCCATCATCAAGATATTTTATAATAATACTTTATTGAACCCATTCGATTGTTGGTAACTTAATAATAATAAATTGACAAACAAAGAGTATCGATCACATATTACAAACCATAAGTCAAGCGCTATATTCAGCTCACAAAGTATCTATCAGCAAAATAGTACCAATTGTCGGCCGGGACCTTCTAAACCGTCACATCTCACTTTATGATAAAATTTTACTTATTGGCGGCAACTCACGTTTCAACTCGCCTCGAGAGTGTGGCAGTTAGCCTGAAGGGGCGGGTATGGTCGGCAGTGCCGCGCTGCATGTCGAGTCGTGTTCTCAGCTCAGTATACGTTACGACGTCGCCACGTTATCATCGACTGTAGCCTGCAACTTTAGTGCAAAAAGTAAATACCGTTTATTTTGTTAGCAATAACAATATTTGTGAGTGCGTAAAATCATGCCCGCGTCTAAAGTTAAATCCGATGCGAGTTTTGTTCTTGGAAGCAACAAATGCGATCATAATGACATTGATCATCTTGATACAGCCAAGGTGAAAAAATTGATTAGCCTACGTGAAAATATCGATTGGGGGATCGAAGAAGAGAGACATAAACTTCTCGAACAACTTTATGTCTTGTTCAAGAAATGGGAGGGCCAACTTCTAAATCTTTCTGAAATTTTCCGGCCTGAAGAATTTGATTGGCTACTCGTGCAAGACGCGTATAATGAAACCGACACCAGCGAAGTTCCTTTCATCGACTTCGTAATTCGCACCGGCTACAAAGATAAACCCGACCAAGATAAAGACGGTAAAACAATTTTGCGTCGTACCACGGCTGTGCATCGTGCGAGTAGAAGTTTCAGATCTCAAATATGCGAAAACCTTGTGAAACTTTTTGAAATTTACGATTACGTGAACTACATTGACGACTTTGGGTATACACATTTTCATGTGGCTTGTGAGAATGGCTGTGCCAATGCCGTCCAAAAATTTCTCGAGTTCAGACAAGATCCCAATTGTCTCGCGCAAAAATCAGTTGATCCGCCGCTGTACTTGGCTTTGAAGTACGAAGAAGAGAATGTGGTCGAGATGCTTCTACGAGGCGGCGCCGACGCTAATTTGGCCAACAAAAACGGACTAACACCTCTGCACGTTATATGCAACGATGGAAAGTTGGAGGATCTATTCTTTGAAATAAACGACGAGCTCAAGAAGCCAGTCAATGTCAATGCTAAGGACAAGTTAGGCCAGACACCGCTACACTTGGCTCTGTTCAAAGGTCGCAAAATATTGGTCAAATTACTGCTCAGAAGAGGCGCCGATCCAAATGCGGCTAGCAACGACGGATCGACTGCACTGCACATCATTGCAGGGCAGTCGATTTGCGAGATACAAGATAATGCAAACTTGGCAGAAATATTATTTAATACCCCGAATAGCCAAAATCAAAAGGTGAAGGTCGACGCTAAGGACAAATTAGGCCGGACTCCGCTTCAATGGGCCGTGGCCAGTCTCTTATCTGATGTTGTCAATGTTCTCTTGGATCATGGCGTGATGTGTCTAATTTTATTTTTCCCACCGACGATTACTTCGCCAAGAGATATCAACTCGATTGTACACTCCAGATGGTTGTATTTCCTACGATGTCCATAATCAAGTCTTTGGAGAATAAAGGATATGAACTTGACCAAACCTCCGCCCTGACTGTCATGAAGACATTCGCCAAGCATGGATTGATCGACGAGCCTGTAGATATTGACAAACGTCTGCGTAGCGACGAAGACTTCATGAGCCTTGCGAAAGAGAAGATGGTGAATCCGAGCCTGACGCTCTACGACTTTCTTCAGCTGCCTCCTGTAAAGGCCGAGAAAGTATTCAAGATGGAAAATTACAACTACTACACAAGTAATATTTCGCATCTTTGTAACGATTCTCATCGGGCGCTTACTAGAAAATTGTGTGAAACAGTAACGTATGGATTTTTCCGACGATGGGCAGTGAAATTGTTTTCAAAAAATACTCCGTGGCTGTCCAATAGGGTGGTCCACTTTTTCAAAAATTTTTTGTATCTCGGGGGATCCATCGGAATCAGAAAGTTTCAGGTCTAAAATGAATTTTCCCGTAAACTAGAACTCAAAAAAATGATTTTAGATGGTGTCGATGGATTTTTGAAGTTTAAAAACGCGCTCTAAAAAAGAAGCAAAATCGGGCTATCATTCGATTTATTTCAAACTCTGTTTAGAGTGTAAAAATAATCTTGACAATACATTTTCTTATGTGTTTTTGTCTGCAGAATCGAATGCCGTAGTCAGTTTTGACCTAGGAGCACAATTTCATTCAAAAAAATACACTTTTTCGATCGTTCTTTTTCGCAAATTCCGCAAAGTTCATTTTCGAGCGAGTGGCAAATGAACAGAAAAAATCTAGAAAATTTTTTGACACCACCAAAATTTAGGATTTTTTATGACAAATCCAATGGTATAAATTAGTATACACTTTGAAATTATTTTAATGCAGAAAAATACAACTTTATCCCAAAAAACGACATTACGAAAAATTGAAAAATCGAAAAGTGTATTAGTTTCTTCCAGGAAATGGCTAAGTAGAATCAACTATGGAAAAAATTGCATGAAACTATCTGATAGGTTTTTTTCTCACCTTTCCAACGCCGGTTTCAGAAGTTAAAAATTCGCAAGATTCGCTGAGATACAGCTATTTTTGTACGATGCATTTTTTAGCTTAAATTCTGCTTCGCAGGTTTTTTAATGAATAGAGCTAGCTCAGAATTATTGAATTTTAAGCCTAAAAAATGCATCGTACAAAAATAGCTGTATCTCAGCGAATCTTGCGAATTTTTAACTTCTGAAACCGGCGTTGGAAAGGTGAGAAAAAAACCTATCAGATAGTTTCATGCAATTTTTTCCATAGTTGATTCTACTTAGCCATTTCCTGGAAGAAACTAATACACTTTTCGATTTTTCAATTTTTCGTAATGTCGTTTTTTGGGATAAAGTTGTATTTTTCTGCATTAAAATAATTTCAAAGTGTATACTAATTTATACCATTGGATTTGTCATAAAAAATCCTAAATTTTGGTGGTGTCAAAAAATTTTCTAGATTTTTTCTGTTCATTTGCCACTCGCTCGAAAATGAACTTTGCGGAATTTGCGAAAAAGAACGATCGAAAAAGTGTATTTTTTTGAATGAAATTGTGCTCCTAGGTCAAAACTGACTACGGCATTCGATTCTGCAGACAAAAACACATAAGAAAATGTATTGTCAAGATTATTTTTACACTCTAAACAGAGTTTGAAATAAATCGAATGATAGCCCGATTTTGCTTCTTTTTTAGAGCGCGTTTTTAAACTTCAAAAATCCATCGACACCATCTAAAATCATTTTTTTGAGTTCTAGTTTACGGGAAAATTCATTTTAGACCTGAAACTTTCTGATTCCGATGGATCCCCCGAGATACAAAAAATTTTTGAAAAAGTGGACCACCCTACTGTCCAAGCACTACTGTAAAATTTTCATCGGGCAACTGAATATCAAGGGTTTGTGGGACATTTGTATGGAGGCCACGAATGAAAATACTCAATGGCTAGACTCTGTACGTACAGATTATGTTAAAAATTATTATAAAAGGAAGTTAGAATTAGTATATTCTTTTGAAGAATGCGACAAGTTGTAAGTAAGAAAACTTGACCCATGGTACAAAAATAAAAATTCCATTGCGTTTGGTTTGTAATTCTTTTCTAAAGATCAAGTTTGACATTATATTTATATAATATAGGATTTTTTTTGAGCAGTACGCAACATATCTACATAAAGTACGAAACAATCCTTTGAATTCAGGAAAAATGGTTTGGTAGTGTGCTTTCAGATGAATAAGTAAAAGATTATCTAAAAATACTATAAAAACAGTTTTCTCTATGAGAATCTTTTGACTAATGTTACAAATCACAGATAAAAATGCTCGAGCTCCAATACAATAATCAAAATTGCTGTGCCGTTGATTGACAATTGGACTCAAGTTATTTGTTTAAGTCTCTGTCTGAAATATTAAATGTTAAGTTTCAATAAGTTACAAATAAAGCATTTGACACATTTCTTTCGAAACATTGTATCCACAAACAAATCAATAAATATCATAAACGCACACAAGAAAATTCATAAATGAGAACAACAACATACATATGAGAGTCATTTCATAATAATAATTTACTGGACTCATTCGATCATAGGTAACTCTACCTCTTACTAAGTTTTTGATAAAATCGTGTTTAAGAAATAAGAAATTGACAAACTAAGAGTATCGACTGTTCACATTACAGATCAAAAATCAAGTAAAATAAGCATACAAAGAGTCTATCAGCAAAATAATATCAATCGTCAGCCAAGGCCCTCTGAAACTTGACAACTCTCTTTGCGTGAAGCAATTTATATTTACATTTTTGTCCATGAGCGCGTAACTCACGTTTCAACTCGCTTCGAGAATGTGACAGTTGCTCCGAGAGAGCGCGTAGCAAGTCGAGTCGTTCATCTCTGTACACGTTACGTTATACGACACCGGATCGTGAGAAACGAACAGTCGCTCGGCTTGTAGCCAATGATTCTCGTGAAAAAATTAAAAAAGATTTTATATTGTATAAGTAATTGTGGTTTTGTGCGAGTGCTTAAAGTCATGTCTACGTCCGGCGTTGAATCCGATGCAGGTTTCGTTCGCGCAAGCAGCGAATGCGATCCCAAAGACGTAGATCACCTTGATAAAACCAATGTGGAAAAATTGATAAGCCTACGTGAAAATATCAATTGGGAAATCGAAGAAGAGAGACATAAACTGCTCCATCAACTTTATTCCTTGATCAGAAATTGGGAGGGCCAACTTCCAGATCTTTCTAAAATTTTACAGCCGGAAGAACTTGATTGGCTTCTCGCGCAGGACGCATATAACAAAACCTACACCGGCGAAGTTCCGCAGCTCATCGATTTCGTAATTCGCACCGGCTACAAAGATAAGCCCGACTTAGATATAGGCGGCAAACCAATTTTGCGTCGTACCACGGCAGTGCATCGAGCGACTAGAAGTTTCAGTTCTATGATATGCAACGAAATTCCTATGCTTTTTGAAATATACGATTACGTGAACTACATTGACGACTTTGGGTATACACATTTTCACGTGGCCTGTGAGAATGGT